ATGTGGGGTAGAAAGGGGGAACCGATTACAAGAATCTACGTATAGCCTCCTCCCTGGGGGATGGACAGCAGAGAAGAGGGCGGGGGGAGACGTCGGTCAGTGTAACATATGACAAAATCATAATAATTTATGAATTATGAAGGGTTCATGAGGTAATGGGGAGTAGGGAGAGTGAAAATGAGAAGCCGATATTAAGGGCTCAGTAGAAGGCAAATGTTTTGAGAATGATGAGGGCAACAAATGTACAAATGTGCTTGACAGAATGGATGGATATATGGATTGTGATAAGAATTGCATGAGCCCCCAATAAAATGATTTTAAAAACCCAATGAATTCTTGGAACACCATTCAAAAGATTTTCACACAAAGTATACAATGTGTGTCAATAGAGTCATATTTATTCCATTTGCAGTGATGATGCCACAGGCTGATGAACCTAACATCTATAACATGACAACATTTACAAGCAAGAATGTAGTTCATGACCAACGTGCCTGAGCTCTGCTTCCTCAAAATGTCAGCTATACCTGGTTGTAGGTGTGAATATTTCCTGTTCTTGCTTCAACTTGACATCTATGAAGTCCTTTCTGTCAGTAACATCTCTACATTGGCCGCTAATCTTTAAGCAGTGACAGAGAGTGATAGTATTATGTTATTCTGACTTCTCAAGTGATTTTTATTTTTTGGTGAGAATTGGCATTAAAAAATAAAATACATTTTCTGTTAAAAAGAAAAAGTACAACTAAATGTTCTGCAATTATCACTCTTCAAAATGTTATCATAATTCTTTATAATCCACAGAGTCAAATGCCTTTGCAGAGTCAATAAAACACAAGAAAACATCTTTCTGGTATTCTCCATTTTCTACCATGATCCATCAGCAATGATACCCCTCATCTCATGTCCTCTTCTAAATCTGGTTTGAATTTTTGGCAGTTCCCTACCCAGGTGCTGCTGTAACTATTTTTGAATCATCTTCAGCAAAATTTTGCTTGTCAAAATTATCCTCCCCAAAATACTCATACAGGTAATCACCAGATTAAAAAACCTTTTCAGCATTCTTTGGATCAGAATAGGGAACATCTTATAAATTCACACTCCCATCTAAGGATTTCCGTTTCTTTCCAGCTCTGTTTATATTTGTTTTTTGTGGGACTTTATTCATCATTTTCTGTGTGTTCATTGTGCGCAAAGGGTGTGTATTTGTCCGGTCCACCACACTGCCAGAATTTAAAATCTGTACAGAAATTTCAAAAATGTGTTCACTATCCTCTAACAGTATAAAAATTAGTAAATGAACATGACCAGCCAGGCGTTAATTTTTTTGTTATCAGTTTGTAAACACAAATTTTATTCTTTCTCTTTTAAGAGAAGCTTTCCCAAAGAGTAAGAGTTTAGAACTTGACTGACTCTACTGTTGCTGCTGTAGAAGTCCAGAAAACATCTTAGAACACAATCAGGGACGAGTTCAGCTTAAGAAGTAACTCAAAACACAGGATAACAGAAGTAAAAAGAATGATGCTTAGCACACTTGGTTTCAACCCCCCTCAGCAAGTGACCCAAGTTAAACTATCTAACTTCTCTCATCCTCAACGTAATTACTGTTAAGAAAATACCACTATAATAACCTCATAAAGTTATTAAAAGGTAATTCAGTAGGTACCCCATTTTTTTCCCGTTTTCAATTTTTAATTTCTTTTTTAGAGTCAACATTCAAGTATAACATGCTTGCACTCACTTCCCTTTCAAAAGTTGTATTTAAATTCAACAGACGAACCAAAACATCAGTTTGGGCAAGAGCAGGCAGTGTTACTTAAAATCAATAAGAATTCTTTTGAAATTTTCATATGTAAATTATTTTTAAAAACTGTACCTGGAAAGAATAGTAATACTACATATATCTTTTTGAAATCTTATCAATACATTAATAAAAAACACTTCAGAAATATTGTGAGAGCTATCACACAAACGATCTTTATCCATTACTTCTTCTCTAGTATGTTAAAGAAAATTAATAATAAAGGTAGCATTTATATTCATACAACACTTGAAATTGTTCTGCTTTCATGATAACTACTGCTTAAAAGTAAAATCCTGTATTTAAAAGTGGGATTACTTTTACAGGCATCAGAAGACCCAAAACAAACAAAAAACATATTGTTGACAATGAGGAAGGTCAGAGCAGAGACCCAAAACCCATCTGTAGACAATGGGATATCCCCTCACAGAAGGGTCACAAGGGAGGGATGAGTCAACCAGGGTACAGTATAGCATCAATGAAACACACAATATTCCTCTGGTGCCTTGAGGCTTCCTCATCCCCCACTATCCCGACCCCAATTCTGCATTTCACTGCAGGCTAGGCTGGAGCATATACACAGGTACAAATAAGAGCTCATGACACACAGAATCCGGGTCAGATAAACCCCTCAGGTACAGAAATGGGAGTAGTGATACCAGGAGAGTAGGGGGAAGGTTGAGGGAGGAGGGAATACGGTGAAGGGAGACAGTGGTCGGTGTAAGATATGAAAATAGTAATAATTTATAATTTATGAAGGGGTCATGAGGGTGGGAGTAGAGTAAGTAGGGTAAAAACAGGAGCTGATACCCAGGGCTCAAATAGAAAGCAAATGTTTAGAAAATAATGATGGCAACATATGTACAAATATGCTTGACACAATTGATGTATGGATTGTTATAAGAGCTGTAAGAGCCCCCAATAAAATGATCTTTAAACAAACAAAAAAATGAAGTGACTTTTAACACGCAAATATCATGGATTGAGTGGTAGGGTGGTTACAGACCTTGTTTGGATCCTGATTGAAACTAATTAACTGTAAAAAATCCTTCTGGAGACAACTGAGGAAATGTGAATTGAGTATTATAAAATTAGAATAATTATGTATTCTGAAACTGTTCCAACCCACTGCCATCAATTCTGACTGTATTATAACATCACTGCTATTTACTGGAGTATAGTTATGGTGTAATTATGGTCTTATTCAAAAAATACTATTTTTTAAAGATACATATATAAATAAGGTGACATGACAATGTCAGAATCTCAAGTACTATACCAAAAACAAAAATGAAACAATTATGACAAATGTTGATAACCTGTATATTATTTTATTATGTACATTTAAAGTATTTTTATTGAAAGAATAAATTAATCAAGTTTACCTTTTCCCCGTCAATTCAATATTGCCCTTCTTATTGAAGATGAACTTGGAATCATTATATCCCCATCCATTCCATTTCATAACTTCTTGCCTAATGAGAACAAAAAAGCATAAAATATGCCAAATATCTCCACACTGAAAAAAGAAAGTTGACAATTAACTTACACAGTAATTTTAAAGTGGCCCACTAATATTGTATGAGTTTAAATAAAATGAAGTATTTCAAAATTCCTTTATAATACAATTTCTGAATGCAGAATCACTTAGAACAGCAGCAGTTTCACTAAACACAATGCATTTAGCAGAAGAAAAAGGACGGGATAAGAAACTTAGAGTATAAATATGTATCATCTCCTACAACACTGAGTTTACACCATAAGGATGACCTGAAAAAATTGTTCAATTAAACCAATGATTCACTTGAAAGATAACAAAGTTGTAGATTTATAATTACTAATTTTCTGCTCTGATGAAAAAGGCCAATTTACAAGGTGGATTCTCTAGGAGCATACACTTTTAATACAGTAGATTAAAAATCTGAGTATTGAGTTTACACATTTTTTAATATTCTCAAAGCAAATGTTTTGAGAATGATGATGGCGACAAATGTACAAATGTGCTTGACACATGGATGGATGGATGGATGGATGGATGGATGGATGGATGGATGGATGGATTGTGATAAGAGTTGTATGAGTCCCCAATAAAATGATTTTTTTTAAAAGAAAGGCACCCTAATGTGATCTGAAGTGTTGAAATGAATTGTTGGTGAATTTTCTTACTGGAAATTCAACTATGATAAAAATATTAAGGATTCGCTGCTAATCACAAAAGACCTGGAGACGTGCTCCTATAACGATTAAAGCCTAGTAAGCCGCATGGCCCGTTGCCCGTTTCCCTTGAGAGAGTCGCTGTGAGTGGAACTGGCTTCATGGCACCAACTTCAAAGGAGCAGAGAGGCGGGTTCTTTGTCTCACAGAGCTACTACTTGGCTAAACCTGAGACCTTTCCATTAGCGGCTGAGAGTTAAACAGCGAGCCACCAAGGCACCAAAGTAAGCACTGAGAAATAATTTTAGGACAGTAGTTAAATGTATGTTTATGTAGCTCAGCAATGAGATTCACTTCTTTAAAATTAGGCAGAGAATTTTGAGAAATTATTCCAAGATGGTATCAAGGGAAAAGGTAAACCTGGTCACATGTGCTCATCACCCTCAGCACTTGACAAGGGAGGTGAATCAAGGGAGCAGAGATCTACTGCTGGCCACTAAAGAGTAAAGAGATACATATAGAAGAATCTTGGACCTTACAATTTCAAATTAAGATAATGTCATAAAAAAATGGTAAAGCTAACATTTTCTGTCTTTTTATCTCAATGAGCAAATTCATTCCTCCTGACAGGGAACTTACTCTATTTATACCCACTTTGGTAGGCTTCCCAGAAGTTGAAATACAGGCATTTGAAATGCATGCAAACCCTCTCTAAACAGTGTTAAAGAACTTAGATACACTTAGCAGCTAAGTACATCCATACCAATCTTCTGACATCTTCGAGTATTTCATTTGTTAAATTAAATAGGTAATAGGCTTCTGATTTTAAACTTTTATAAACTCACGCCCTCTTCAATTTACTAACACATACTATAACATTTACATACAATGTATGTAATTGCTTGAATTTCTAAATGACAGTATTTAGAAAAGTATAAGTACACTAAATAATAGTATTTAGGAAACTAAATACTGATAATAATATTCAGGAAACTAAAAACTAAAACTAAATAATAGTATTTAGGAAAGTATAATAAGTACACAGAAGGACATACAGCATTAACATTTTTTAAAACCTAAGTAAAACTTTTGAAAAATCACAGAACCCTAGAAGTAAAAAGGTTCCCGGAAACCGCCCAGAACAATTACTAATCTTCCAAATCAAGGGACAGTGCTCAGAGACGTGCTCATTGTCCAGCTAAGCTAGTGGCGAGCATGTGAAGGCCAACTCCTAGCCAACTCTCTAGACATAATAAAAGGTGGCTTCAAATAATTAATGAAAAGATGGCATTAAAAAAGATCAGAAAAATTGTCCAGGACCATGTGAAGCCCCTCATATTTCAAGCCCACCAAGTCATGTTCATAGCCACCCAATATGTCAAGACAGAACTGCCCCTGTGAGTTTCCGAGACTATAACTCTATGTGAGAGGAGAAAGCCCTGGCTTTCTCCCTCAGTGTCTGGTGGTTTTGAACAGCTGACCGTATGGCTAGCAGCCCAATGCGTAACCATTATGCCACCAGGTCTCCTTGGTTTTGAGATTTTGAGAAGCCATGATCTCACGTAAACCAAAAGGATTTAAAGCAACTACTTCTTCAATATGTCAATATTTCTCTCAAATAAATCTCACATGCTATTATAATGGTCATTCTTTTGCATGTGACTTGAAAAATATTTTTTAAAACCAGAAGATATGGTTGTTTCAGTAAGCTCCTTGCCCTATGTTAGTGAAATTCATTCTGCCCTTCAGAATAAAGATCCCAAAGTGGTGCAAGGCCTGAAATGAAGAAGCCTGATCAAAATGCTACCAACTTCCTGTGAGAGCCAAAATAAAAGGATGCAATTTTCAACTACCCCAAAGGTCAATTAACCAAAGACTCTGACATTTCAGACTTCAAATTTAATGTCTTTTTGTTTAAAAAGGCAAGAAAGAAAGCAACCTGATTTTGCTATTAAAACTAATTTGCCTGGGTTTTACCCACTTTTTTAAAAAAATCATTTTATTGGGGGCTCTTACAGCCCCCAATTCCGTACATCAATTGTATCAAGCATATTTGTAATTAGTTGGCAAGAAAATGGGGACTTATAAAATAGCATCACATATACACAAGGTGGCAGTATTCTCCTATGATATACTGTGTATATCCAATCATTGAAATATTAGATTTAGTCATAAAAAAGATCATAAAGAATTCCTTCCTTATTCTTTTTAAAATAATTTTTAACATTTTTATTTCCGAATTAAAATTCTTTTATACTTAAAAAAAACATTCTGACAATTGATTATATTCATTTATATTTATATTTTCCAGAACTTTTTCATCACCCCACACCTTTATCTTAAATCGCAAGGTGTTCACTTTTAAGTCTCTCTGTTCATACACAGTAGTCCATTAGTTTTGTTCCTCAATAGTGCTAAATCCTAAATATCCTGTGTAAATACATCATTTCTATCATCACTACATTTCTTAATCATATTTTTCATACTTTATAAGAAAAATACAAAAATGTGCTATTATGGGCCCTCAAGTCAGCTCCAATTCATATTAATCCTACGTACGATAGAATTAAATACTGCCCAGTCCTGGGCCATCCTCACAACTGTTATCTGAGCCCATGGTCTGAGCCATGGAGGCAAAGGTCAAGGGACCATGTAGCTGAGAATAAGAAGTGGAGAGAGACTTGGCTACCCTGCAGCTGGCTGAGAAGCTGAGAACTAGAGAGATGGATGCTGGCTGAGACCAATTACTATATCCTTACTGTTTGCTGATCCAAGCATCCTAGTAAATACCCTGATAATTTTGAGCAGTGTCTGTGAGTTTCGTGTGGCCATGGCAACGAACCAACAAGCACAGCCAGCTAAGACGGAGAGTGGTGTGGGAGGAATAGTTGGCATCAGGATAGGTAAAGGATAGACAAAAGAGGCATGTCTGATTCCTGCCTTGTGGCAACAGGGCAACCAGAGGAGGTCATATGTCCACCCCCAGTGCTGCTTATTTCCATTTTAGCACTGAATTTTAGCACAGTAAATTACTGAATGGGCTGCACACCACAAGGTCAACAGTTCCATACACCAGGCACTCCTAAGAACAAAGTTGAGGGTGTCTGTCTGCTCTCGTAAAAATCTCGAGTTTGAAACCCAACGGGGCAGTTCTACTTTGTCCTATAAGGTTGCTATAAACCAAGATTGACTGGATAGCAGTTGAGTTGAAGTACTGTAATAGGATTACTCTGACTCAGGATAGACTTGATGGCAGTGATTTGGGTTGAGTTGTTAAATGTAAACAATGAGGAAATCCTTTTATTTCAGAACTTAAAAAAAAAAGGAAGTATGAAGGCCCAGTGTTGGATTTCTAGCTAACTCACCTCCTAACAGTTACCCCCCATCAATCACATATACAATACATAGAATTTTTTTAATCTTTGAAGAATGTTTTGTGTAATTAAAATCCTTATTGATTTGATTATATGTTAATTACTTCAAGACTAAGCCAATCATGAGTGAAATAAAAAATAAGTGCTGAGAAAGTAAAAGATACCAGGAGGTTCATGAGGGAAGGTAAGGGGGAAAGAAAGGGGAAATGAGCTGATACCGAGGGCTCAAGTAGAAAGAAAATGTCTTGAAAATGATGATGGCAACATATGTACAAACATGCTTGACACAATGGATGGACTGTGGTAAGTGCTGTACGAGCCCCCAATAAGATAATTAAAAATAAAAAAAGATACAAGGAGAGCAAATATTCCTAGAAAAATATACCAAGAAGAATTTCTATAGGTGAAATAATATTCCTACTGACTTCTTTAAAGAAAACTCAATGTTTCTAATTTTTACATTCTATTTTTAGAATTTTCATATTTTAATAGGAATTTAATAGCAGTTCCCATTAGAAATACAAAGGCCAGGGTGCCATGGAACACCAAGTCACTGAATCCTGGATCTTTGGGGTGCATGGCCTGCTCTAGAGGCTACCCCAGTGAGAGCCCAAGCGGGAGCTCCACTGGATAAGCTGCACCCTACCTCAGACACATTGTAACCTGAGGTCTCAAGCTGGAAAATACATGGTGTCCGAGAAGCAGAAGACAGCTGTATCGAGGATGGTGAACTGTTGGTAAAGGGATCATCAACGTCCTGCTTCATCAATACCCTGTATCAGTGGTTCTCAACCTTCCTAATGCCGGGGCCCCTTAATATAGTTCCTCATGTTGTGGTGACCCCCCCAACCATAAAATTATTTTCATTGCTACTTCATAACTATAATTTTGCTAGTTATGAATCATCATGTAAATGTCTGATATGCAGGATGTATTTTCATTGTTACAAATTGAACATAATTCAAGCATAGTGATTAATCTCAAAAACAATAAGTACTTATATATTACAAAATATTTCTTTGTAATTACAAATAAATGAAATTTTGTCTTGAAGCATGGCGTAGCATGGGTAACAATAGTCTTTACCCTGGGTACTCGTAGGTGGGCGTTATCTGCATGTGGGCGGACCCGCCAGAGGGATAGAAGAACAGTGTCTTGGTTCCTAAGACCATCGGAAAATACAGATTTCCGATGGTCTTAGACAACCCCTGTGAAAGGATAGTTCGACTCCCAAAGGGGTCGCAACCCACACGTTGAGAACCGCTGCCCTATATGCTGTATTAAGATTTGTATCATTCTGGCAAATGGGTGACAGCATTTTGTTTCATTTGTTTATGGCTGTTCAGAGTGCAGTGTATCTCAGAGGTGCTGTCATTGGGGGTCACCCTGTAAGTTTTTCTGTTTTTCAGTAAATGAAACCCAGTATTGGTGAGGCTATAGGGACAGTAAATAGAATAAAGGTATGTGGGGGAGTCGGGAGGTAAAAGGGAGGCGATATCAAGGAGACCAGGAAGGAAAAGAATGTTGGGAAACTGATTATAAAAGCCATTGTATAATTTGTTTGAAGAGATTGAACTAAGGAATGATATGACATATGTATTAACACCCAAGTAATAACAATTAAAAGGGGTAAAACGGATTTGGGGCTTGCGTTGCATCATAGCTCCTACTTAAAAACAATTAGTTCTTACATCATGGCCCTGCTCGATACACAGAAGACATGAATGCTTTAGCAAAATGTAGCAAAGAATACTGTAGACAGTGCCCCGGCTAACAGATAAAATAGTGTCTGGGGTCTTAAAGGTTTGTTTCCAAACAAGCAGTCATCGAAGTGAAATGTCAACTAAGTCCACATACAAGAAGCACACCATCATCAGCCACTGAAGGATGGTAAACCATATAACCCACAGACGAAGGAAGGAGGAACTAGTATCAGAGCTGAAATTGTGAGATCCCAGTGTACAGAAGGCTATGGTTGACAGTGGGAGCCCAAGATTCATTTGTGAGAAAAAAGTCTACGGAGAACTCCCTCCTCTATCTACACTTGAGAGATGGGAGGAAAGTGGTTACTAAACAGAGAGCTTTGGAAAGATGAGTATAGAAGATCAAAGGCATAAATCTGACCTGAACAGTTAAAACTTAACTGAGGGGGGTAGATCTCCACCCACCACCCACCCCGTGCCAGATGCATGCTGGACCTGATCTGGTTTCCTAAACTGTCTGTATCTCTGGTTTGTACTGTTCTTTATTGTTTGTACATATTAGGAGGTATATTAGAGGTGTTATGTCTTTGGAGGGAACCCCCTTGAAGCTGTGTTGTTTGTCCAGTTTTCAACATATGAAACCCAGGATTGATGAACCTACAGAGACAGGAAGTAGAAAAAGGATTTGGGGGTGAGGGGGGTTCAGTGGTGGAGGGGGCTGAAGGGGAAAGACGATGTCAAGGAATCCATGCAGAAAAAGGATGTTTGAAAACTGATTATGGTAACAATTGTACAATTCTGCTGAATGTGTTGAACTACAGAATGATGTGATATATATATTTATTTAAAAGGAAAAAAGAAAGAAATACAAAGGCCCAATGTGGAGGGTAACTGTAGAAGCTTTTGAAATTCAAATGTAATTAGAAATATAAAATGTGAGTGCTCTCATTTCCAAGGTATAAATACTAACACTGGAATAACCCAGAGAAGATTGGCTTGACCCCTATGCAGGATAACATGCAAATATTTGTGGAGCAGTCCATATTTTTAATAACTATATAAAACATTTATCCTAAAACAAAAATGAGAAAGCAAGGAGGGAAAGGGGAGCTAGATCAATGAAAACAATCCAAACTAAATAAAGAAAAAAGCAGATATGCTATGAAAATTGTAACCAACGCCAAGGAAGAATTTATATAACAATTGTGATATGGAAACCTAATTTGCTGTGTAAACTTGCACCTAAAACATAATAAAATATTTTAAAGTGTATATATATTTTGCATAAATTTATAACTATGTTCATATCTAGCCTGCATGTCCTAGAAATTTTCTGAAATGCAATTAAGAAAATTCCTGTCTGCAAGGCTTACTGCTGCAATCTGATAGTGCAACCATTTCCTTTTCAAATAGTTTATGCTTACATAACAGAAACCGCCATTACAAGAAAGAGTAGAAAACTGAATGAAACAGCTCCACTCAATTAACACAGCTACAAATTTGGTTGCAAGATTGCTACATTTGACCCAGAAAATAGATGAATGCTGTTAAGCATTGATAGTTTAATAGAATTAAACATGTGAATCATAAATTATTCCCTTGCCCTGATCTAAAACTCACTTAGATAGTCTCTACATTTCCTTCTGAGAGAAACTAGCCAACTGACATGTTTTAAGAGGCAAAGGAATTTTATTTTTCAAAGACTAGCATTCTAGTTAATTTTAGTCACTGATGAGAGTAATTAAAGTGAATCAGATTGACCAAATATTGACTCAAGCATCCTAACAATATCAGGATTCTGGGCAGGCCAAAAGACAAACCTTGTTCACTCGGCAGTGAACCTTCTCCTTACAAAACCTGCATATCATGTGACACAATGAAATTAAACATGAATTCCAATCTTCCCTACTATTCACCACTATTTGTCTTATATGGCTACCAGTTGTCATCAATTCAATTATGTCTCATAGTGACCACACTGTGGGGCACAATACAACCCTGCAGAATTTTCCCAGTGGGTTTCCAAGGTTATAATTTTTACAGCAACAGTTGGCTACCTCCCTCACCTGCAGAGCGGCTGGTGGGTTCAGACTTCACACCTTTCTGTTAGTAGCTGAGTGCTTTAACCATTGTGCCCCACCAGAGCTCCTTCTTACAATGCTAGTTGCTATAAGAAAACTCTGAGTCTTCTGAGGTGATAAATTGTCCCTCTGCTTTCTACTTTTCATCAATGTGATGGTTTAAAGTAGCTTGAATATGAGGTCTAAGAACATGGAAAATGCTAGCTAGACTCTAGAGAACAGGAACGTACATGATGCCCTACTGGTAAACTATTCCACAGAACAATCGTGCAAGTTTTCACAGGGATTACCAATCTTTTTATTTTTCCTAATCATTTTATTAGGGGCTCATACAACTCTTATCACAATCCATACATACATCAATTGTGTAAAGC